TTTGTGCCGCTGGTTCCCGGAACCGATTTCTGGATGCTCAGACCAGTTACAATTTTGCCGATTTTAGAGGCTCATAAAGTAAGTTTCACTTCAGTTGAATATCGAGTTTCAATCGATGATTTCCTGCAAATGTTATGCAAACAATTTCAAAACTTTCAAATAATTTTGACTTCTTCCAGACGTTTGCACCATCAAAGGCCACTTTCTCGATTCATCGATCAAACATTCCGATCCGGATTTCAGAAATCCATAAGGGGAGTTTCATAATAATATCACTGTAAATTAATCGATTCTCCTCATTAATTCTTCGGCAATTAAATCAGGAACTTTGGACATATTTTTTCGGAGAGTTCGGGATTTTTCCTTGATTTGCTCCAGTCTCTTCTGAAGCTAATTTTTTTTTAATTCTTAACTCAGAAAATCCTGTTTGCGTTTCGGAAACCATTAGCAAGCCTTGGTGTACAAACAGCTGAAATTTCGATCAATTGATTCTTTTCATTAGTTGGATTTTTCGTCGATTCTTTTCATCAAAGCACTTAACTTCTCAACTTTTCAATATTTTTTACTTCTGGAAAAGGTTGACACCACTGCCACTTCAATATCCCTTTTCTGGATCTTTTGTGAAGATGTAGCGACGAGAGCTTTTGCTGGAACTTAGAGAACAAGCTTCAATGTAGTGCCAGCTGAAATTTCACTGAAATTCCTGTTCCAATTACGCGAGAATTAATTCGGAAACTTTGGCCACTTGCCTGCGTTTTTAAGATGTATGCACCCCTGTCTTCAAAGGCCCAATTCTGGATTCTTTGACTCAATATTGCGAAGGCAATTTCAGTATTCCTTAGAGGAAGCTTAGTAGGACTTTCAGTTAAATATTGAATGAATTCCCTTCATTGATTCTTATGCAATGAATTTGGGCACTATCGACACCGTTTCTCGTTTTCAGAAGTTTTGCGTGACTGTCTTCAACCCATTTCTGCATTCAGCGATCAGATATCTCAATGAAGGTTTCGGAATTCAACAGGGTAAGATTTGTCGACCTTTCAGCTCAAATTTGAATCAATTCTCTCCGATTTCTTCTGGAATAAATTCGGAAATTTTAAACAATTTTTTGCGTTTTCGGGAATTTTGCGCCACTGTATACAAAAGTCCATTTTTCTATTCTCTGCAAAGATATCTCAATTCGGATTTCAACATTCCATAGAACAAGCTTGGGAGAACTGTCAACTAAAACTTCAATCAATTCCCTGCATTAGTTCTTCCGGAATTAATTAGGAAACTTTAAACCTTTTTTGCGTTTTCAGGAATTTTGCTTCAACTGTCTACAAAGGCCAAATTTTTATTATCTGGATAGATATCTCAATGGAGACTTTATGGTTCCTTAGCAGAGACCTTTAAGCCAAAACTTCAATAAATTTCCTGCAGTGGTTCTTCCGGAATTAATTCGGAGACTTTAAACAGTTTTTTGCGCTTTCGGAAATTTTGGGACACTGTCTACAAAGGCCAAATTTTTTATTCTCTGCTCAGATATTTAAATATTAATTTCAAGATTCCACAGAACAAGCCGAGAACAACTTTCAGCTCAAATTTCAATTAATGCCCTTTATTAGTTCTTCTGGAATTAATTAAGAAACTTTGAACACTTTTTCGCGTTTTCAGGAATTTTACACCACTGCTCTCAAAGGCCCACTTCTGGATTCTTCGACTAGACATCCGGATACGGATTTCAGAAATCCCGAAAGCATATCTCAGGACACTCTCAGCCCAAATTTTAAGCAATTTCCTAGAACAGTGCGTGTAGAATTAACTCGCAAGCCATGAACACTTATTTGTTTTCCAGGATTTTTGTACCAACGTTTTCAAAAGTCCATTTATAAATTCTTCAGCTGGATATCGCAATAACGAATCCGGCATGCACGTAACAAACATTGGCGAACTTTCAGCACCATTTTAAGTCAATTGCCTGCATCAGTTCTTTTGGAATTAATTCGAAAACTTGATACTTTTTTGGCGTTTTGAGGATTTTTGCCTCAATGTCTTTCAAAGCCAATTTGTGAAATCTTCGACTATATATCTCAATGCGAGTTTCATAAATTCACAGAAAAGACTTCGGAATACTTGGAGCTCAAATTTTAATCGATTCTCTTCATTAATTCCATTGGGAACATTGAAACACTCTTTCCATTCGCCACCGGCAAAAGGGATTTTCTGGCTGCCTGGTGAACTCAAATGCAGATAAATCCATGTGACAAACCATGAGCATACGGCGTATTGAAACATTCAACACCATTCCAAAGCCAAGTCGATTTAGCCGACAGCAAACATCGACACGCACATTCGTTCAACTGTTTGCTCATACAACAAGTGTAGGCAAACAACGTACACGAATAAATAAAAAATTGCCAAGCGGGGGTTTTTCAAAGCGATAATATTTCCCTAGAGATTCTAACAGGAGGGGACACACATTCTTCATTATATATCGATATTTGATCAGCAATCCCCAAAAGGCCACTGGAATAGAGCGGCGCAAGAGCTCCGCTCTATCTTAACAATCAAGCATGCTACTACTTGTAACTAACTAACGCAAAGTGGTACTTACTAGATCTCTGATTCTTAATAAAATAGATTTGCAGTCGTTCCTTAAAAGTATTTTCATTGACGTAATATTCTACTCGGACCCTGAAACAAAAGAGACAAGTTAGGGCATGCCGACTGAAAGCTTTCGCTAAACTAATTACCAACTCAAGCGGAGACAACCAACAGAAGGACTGTCGATATGTCTTTTATGCGATTTCCAGCTCGCCCTTAGTGTGGGCCCCTTGCCGTACAATTTCAAATTACTTCCAGAATATCCAGAAGAATTCAGTTTATAGAGTAGCAAATTGGGTTCCCGAGTGTCGTGCCCGAAGGGGAAAAGTGTTTAATGTCGAAGTTGTGCCGCGCCCTTCGGGCACGACAATGATTTTAACGCGAAAACACTCGAAATGTTGCCTTCCAACCAGAATGAATTTGGCGTTTTTTTCGTTGAAAACAGGGTCGTGCCCGAAGAGCTCGGCTCTGCGTCAACTTTAAACAGTCTTTAATGCGTTTTTGTGCCTGTCACTACACTGACTTTCACGCGAAAAATACTCGTACCTTTCCAATTTTTCCGATCTATTCAGTGTCCTGCCCAAAGAGCTTTTTACAATAAACACCTTAAAAATTTAAGTGCCGTAAGTAAAAATTTAAATTTAAGTGTCGTGCCCTAATGCGTTTTTGTGTTGGCCACGGTACTGACTTTGACGCAAAAAACACAAAGAAATTGCGTTTTTACCTTTTCCGCTCCAACCAGAGTGAATTTAGTGTTTTTCTAGTCAAAAACAGTGTCGCTCATCTTCGACAATAAACACTCTTTAATGCGTTTTTGTACCGACCACAACACTGACTTGACTCTAAAATCACTCAAAATTTACTTTTTTTCTCGTCAAAAACAGTGTCATGCCCGAAGGACTCGGCACAACTTGGATACTGAACACTGTTTAATGTGTTTTTGTGCCGAACAGTTGGG